TGTACAAACCCATCGCCAGCCAATGGTGGACGTAACTGCGAGGGACCTAGTTCAGAAACACAAATATGTGCTACAAATGCGTGCCCAGTTAATGGGAATTGGACAGCATGGAGTTCATGGGACTCGTGTTCTGTGTCGTGTGGTGGAGGAAACCAAAGAAGAACGCGCACGTGTACAAATCCAGCACCAGCCAATGGTGGACAAAGCTGTGAGGGACCCAGTTTACAGACACGAATATGTGCAACCGATACATGCCCACCACCAGGTAAAAACATATTATTTGGTTTCGCTTTAAAAACCATGATTTTACCAGTGTCTTCCTGCTTTTCCCCATTGTTCATACTTCCATGGATCGTATGCTTTACCGACCTCCATGTATTTTTACATATACATGCTTTCCATGAGAGTAACCGTCGAAAGCAAATAAAAAGATTATACAGTAGTGTATGGCCTCACTTGATTGATATCTACACACTTTACGAATTAATGCTACTGAAGGACAACTTTATTCTTCTTTCTGCTTTTAGTTTGTCAGGTAGGTCAGACGGTGACAGATAGATGTGGTCAGCGGTGTGTCTGTGGTGCGGGTGGTAACTTGACTCAGTGTACTCGTATCAGAAAAGAGTTTACCTCCATGACGACAGCTGAACGTCAACGATACATAAGTGTCATTAAAACAGCCTCTACTGATCCAAGGTTCGTCTAACTTAGAAATAATCAAGGTTACAAGGTAGTAGCATTTTGGAATAGCAACAGCTACTCCAAACATTTCTAGAGCTTGTACTCGAAGCATAACAAACAACTTGGTCACACGTACTTCTTGTTATTTCCAGATACAAGAGCCGGTACGACACACTCCTCACTCTTCACAAGACTTTATTTAATAACGGTGATACTCATCATAACAGAAATAACTTCTTACCATGGCATCGGTGGTACGATCTCGAGTATGAAAACCTACTCAGAGAGGTTGACTGTCAATTCACGGTGGCTTACTGGGACTGGGTTGCTGTTTCCGAGAATCCCTGGAACACAAGAGCACGAGCCCTTTGGTATTCGGGAAACAGTGGTATGGGAGGAAACGGCGTACAACCCAACCAGTGTGTAAACACAGGGCCTTTCAGGGAGGGAATCTGGCAGCTGATTCCATCCGTCAATACTCTACCTCGATGCTTGAGAAGAAACTTCAATAAAAACCCGCCTAATGCTGTTGAGCTGGAAGCCTTGTTGAACATCTCCCCGGAAAGGTTTGAGGGTTTTGAATACAAACTGAGATATAATTTCACCCACGAACTTCAATGCATGATTGGAGGCACAATGTGTTCGCGCGATGCTGCATCTGCTCCTGAGTTCTTCTTGCTACAAGCGATGATCGATAAGGTGATTATCTCATTGGGCAACCATTTTAAAATCAGGTTCAGGCTTTCCGTTTCTTTTATCATATTGTTATTTCCATGAGTTCCTTTTCCAACCTGCACCCCTAGTTTTTGTATTGATTTTCTAACCCATTTTCATGGCTGCTCAACACGAATAAAGTTATAGTGTACAACTTGATATATGCTAACCACATCCTCTTTCCTTTACCCTTTGGTACAACAACTGTTCTCTCTTCCCTCCCTTACTACGTATTTTTTTCTACTACAATCAGGATCCGCTTTGGATTTTCCCCTGATTTCACCCTTTGACAGTCATGGCCCGGTTGTACGAAGGGTGGATAGGATTATCCGATGGATAAATCGATACTGTTATCCAATAAATTTATCCACTATGTAAGAACTATCCGTCGGATAGCGCTATTCACCCTTCGTACACCGGGCCCAGAAAATAATGATGCTGATAATTAGGCCAACAAATGGATTTTGGTATTAAGTCGTATTGCGGAAAAGTAGAATGCAACTCATTACCTTATTATTAACTTCGAATCTCCGACATAATAGACTCTTTTAGATTAGGTGCAATGTTTTTCCATTACAGACCACGTGTCATTCTCTGGAGTATCATGCCTGTGTTTACCAGTCGTACATGAGAAGACACATGAATATGAATACGAAAAATCTTCTCAAGATAATGGCACGTGGTATAGTGGGAAAACGCTACACCAAGGGAAAACATGTCGGTGTGGTATTTCAAAAATTTCTATTTCGTTTTGTCTAGATTTGGGAAGACTGGCAAAGTAAGAGCAATTTCCACAGGACGGTGTTCTTCGCAAACTTGACCACTAGCCTACCAGGAACAAACAACATCTTGCCCCGTCAGTTAATCGATAACAAAGCATTACCAGGAGGAGTGAGGGTCGAGTACGCACCGTATAACGCTGGACTTAACGATATGGCATAGTTACAACCAGTGAACAGAAAATGACCGTCATTACAGTCTCCGCTGGCTGCGACTAAAGCCTATTTTGATATAGAGTATTAGAAAACAAACACAAACACGAAAGTGGATTTATATTGGCACTCCTGGAAAACGAAACAGAATTAGTGAGGAATACATAGCGAAGCTCTTCAAAGAACCAAACGGGCGCAAGTGGATCAATGGGGAGAAAGAGAGAGTAAGGGGTGGTTAAGAAAACAAAGAATAGCAATAGACCTCTTCGGCTCTGACGTAATGTTTTCCATTTTGCGACCACGTCATTTGCGCTCGGTTGCACATGAGAAGACACATGAATATGGATACAGCTCAAACAAAGAATTTTATTCTCAAGGGAATGACACGTGGTCTGAAATGGGAAAACATTACCCCAAGCCGAAGAGGTCTATTACCGTAGGTCATGGGTGAGAGTATAGCAAGTCAGTTTTAAAATATTACAAGACAAGTCTAACTGAATCAACGTTTGATCTTCGCTTATTATGCAAATTCAGTAGCTTCTCACACATGCGTATTAGTGATGCCGCCGTGAACAGCAAGGAATGCGATCATTCGATAATTTAGCAGACACCATGTAGTTAATAAAAATAATAAATGATGATAATCATTCATTTGTCTCACGATGGAGGATCATTTGAAGAAAGACCTCGAGGATTCGACTGCAAGCTATTAGTCTTCATCAGGCGATGGGGTAGACTGAAAATTATCGCCGATGCGAGGCTAACATGAAAACACAAAAGAAGTAACCCTTTTTCTCGTTGGAATTTGTGGTATTTCTTTCGTGCTTCCATTTTAACCTCGCATCCAAGATAATTTTTGCCCATTCAATCTGTTGGTGCTTCAATGAATAGGACACCTGCCATGGCGTCATTTACTATAGTACCGCTACCAGAATCCATTGAACACTTTCTTCAGCCAGTCAATTAGCAGCAATTGTATTACTATTCTTTTGAGGAAATACAAATTTGAATAAGAAAGAAAATTGGCAAAGCATTTTGGTAGTGCTAGTAAAATGACGCCAACTTGCAAACGGCCTTTGGCATTGACAATGCAAAAGCTTTGTTTTTCTAAAGATGCCGGGATGTCGGTATTGCCAAGGCACAAGGCATGCACATTTTTCAAAAAACTGACGTTGTTATCGCAAAAGGCGATAGGAGATAGGCGAAAAGCGATAGGAGATAGGTCATCTCAAGATCCTAGAATAGTTGGGATGACTTGTGTTTCTGCTTCTTATTCTCGTTACGAACATGAACATTAGTGTTGAGACTGATTCAATGTTGTTTGTATTCAACGAAACCATTTCCATATCGGAATGACCTATCACCTATCGCCTTTGGCGATGACAACGTTTTAGCGACGGACCATTAGATTATTGAATATTATCAGGAACATATATTGTTTCACGTCCACGCGAAATATGAATGTAAAAGTATTGGATAATTTTATTGGATTCAGCAGTGAAGATGAAAGAAACACTAGTGAGTGTGATAAAACAATCAATGCATGTGTATTAATATTAATTTATGTACAACATTAATGGGTACATAAGCATTTAATCTCATATAAACATGAGAGAATTTCAAAAATAATCATATTAAATGCATGAATAATAAAAGAAAATCTATATGTTGTTAATGATACTATAAAACAGCTATAAATCATATTTTGAAATTTTTATAGTTATATCATAGAGCGCTTTTTTTAAAACTGTGCAATATAAAATCGACCAGCAGTTAATTTGCAATAAGATAGATAAAAAATGAATATTGCATTTGGCCTGCTAAAGGGTTCCTTGTCATCACCTCAAGCATACGTTGTCTCCAGCTGCCTCTATATCAATCCAAAACACTTATGGAATTATTACTCACATTCTTTCGAGCTCTAGTAGAATAAATTTTAACTATTGGTTTTCAAGGAAAAGAAATTGAACAATGCACATCCAATATCAATGATTTTATATGTGTTTTGAATTACAAATTATAAACGAAAGTCTAGTAGTGATGAAAACCGTTAAAATTGAATCGCATTTTGAGCTGTCAAGAGTGACTAGCTTTGAGCTTTTTTTCGATGATAYCTTACGCATGTATAGAACAGTTCCATTGCGTGTTCGTATATGGAACTCAATAAAATTGACGTTCATGGTCAGTAATATTATTTTGGCCGTTGAATATTCAAACAACTCTTTATATTACATTTTGGTTGCCACATTAAAAAAAAATCTTACAAGGTCATGATGGCAGAAAAAAAAAATCGTGCAGAGGTTGAGAATAAAAAAATACATCGTGCAGCAAAAATTCCAGCAACCCCCCCACCATCAATAATCTAATGGTCCGTCTCTTAGTGAGAAGTTGTGATCAAATAATCCAATCACAAATATACAAGTTCTGTTTCATCTCTATAAGTACTAGTTTCAAAATAAACATGAAATCCAATCTTAAAAATCTTTATAAGAACGTATGAACCGGTTTGACTATAAATGCATTTTTAAATATATCCACTTACAGCGGGCGATTAACCGTAACGGTCATAAAGAAGTTTAAAGTACAGGTTTAAAACCTCATCCGTAACGTCATGACACAGTTGGTTCGTTTAGCTTAATGTTAATTATAGTTTGATGTAGTTAATTCAAGCCCCAAAAACAAATTATCCATTTTTATTGTGCCATATTGGCTATAACTTCAAGAAAAAACTATAGATACATGAGAAATTACTTTGGACAGTTTTAACGATGGATGCTGAACAAATCGTGATTCATCGTTTAGAATGCGGAAAAATAGAAAGCTATTTACTTCAAAGTCCATGACGTAGAAAGAGATATTTTCCTGCATCTAATGTCGTGTTGAAATACAATGAACAATAGCCCTTGGCTATGGTAATACTGGCCAATACTGTATTGTTCATATATATTAATGGCACTTCACTGCTCTTATTCTGCCTACTTGATGCTACGTGAGAGGGATTGTAATCATTTTTGCACTCACTGTCCATAAGGTAAGATGCCCCTATATGCCTATATTACCTACATTATACACCTATATTTTCGTATTTAATATAGACTTTTTAATTTAAAAATAATCCTAGACGCGAGGCTCGCAGGAAAATTTAAAAGAAATGGTACAATTTCTATCGAGAAATATTATGATTTCTTTGATTTTCCAACTAAACTCGTGCATGGATGATCCAAGATAATTTTTCAATAGTTCTATTCTATAAGTTATTTTATGATATTCTTCTTATTACGAATGCCGCTTTTTAATAGGGCCTTTTAGCTGGCCAGTTAATTTTCGTTCCAAAACGATTATCCTCGCTGAGAGGTTTGCACGTTTTTTTTTAATGGCACAAATTCAATCAAATTCTAATTATTGATCTAATTATTCTTTAACAGTTGAATAGCTTTATAGATACTTTTTATAGATAATATATGTGCTATTTTTTAGGAGCAGTTTTTACGTAGGAATTCAGGTTTCCCATTTAAAAAGGCATTTTACTTTGATATTATTGTTAAATGAAAAATGTCCTTCGCTGAATTCATTTAAATTTTTTAAAGTGTTTTTTTAGAAAAAGGATGAAAATGTTCACACTGGCGTGAAACACGCAATAAAGTTTTTTCCGCTCTGTACTAAAATAATGATCCATGGTGGATTACTATCACCCAATTTTAATATTGTTAAAGTGTTTAGAGCAGAACAGAGCATAAAGAGAGAGAGAGAGAGCAGAATTGGCAAGAGAATTGAACTCTGAAATGGCTTCCATATTTGATGATCGATCTTACTGCTCATTAGGCGTTATCTCGACTTTTGATTGTTTCCAGAGTGCAAGACGCCTTTGCAATGTCACAGAAATCATATAAAATCTTAGTTCTCTAGTTTGTCTTCTTTCTCTGCGACAAAGTAACTAGAACCACGATGGAAGTTCGTTCAGGAAAATATGAAACCACAATATAATGTTGACGTAGGCGAGGTAATAAAATGCTATTATTGTGTTTTACAGGACGATGGCCAAGGGACTGGTTAGTGGTCTTATTTTGCTATGCTTCATTTGCTGTCAGTCAGTGGTTTCGGGTCAAGGTAATGAAGGTGGGAAGTAGAAGGAAAATAAGTGCGCTGCAGTAAAATCAGCAAGATTCCATCAAACACTGATTGAAAGGGCTTTACATCCCTTAACATCAAAATGGCTTTCCACTCAGTTATCCTTGTCTAACACTGAAATGGCTTACCATTCAGTTACATCTTTAACACTAAAATGGCGTTCCTCTCAATTAGCCTTCCTTAGCACTGAATTGGCTTTCTCCTTCATTACATGTTTAACATCGAAATGGCCTTCCACTCATTTAGCATTCCTCATTAACACTAAAATGGCTTTCCATTAGTTACATCCTTAACATCGAGATGGCTTTCCACTCATTTAACATTCCCTAACGAAATGACTTTCAGTTCAGTAAGCATTCCTTGAGAATGAACGGGCTTTCCATTCCGTTACATCCTTAACATTGAGATGGCTTCCCCGGTACTTAGCATTCCTCGAGAATGAAATGACTTTCCATTCAGTGAAGCCTCTCAACATCCAAATGGCTTTCCATCAGTCACCATTCCTTGAGAAATACAACTTTCAGTTGCATAAATTTTCCGAGATATTCTAGCTATTCACTAGAATATCGGATAAAGAATGATAAACCTAATTACATTAATTAGGCTTCTCATTGTTCTATTTTTTCCTCTTCTGGAGTGCAATATAGTTTAAGACTTCGGATCTATATTTAAAAATACTTATCTATTAATAATCAGGAATAATCAGGCTTGAGAGACCACAAAGGACACACTTGAGTCAGATTTTGCATCAGACGCCCCTATTTTTCTATATCTCAACAGATTCCTATAATAACTAGTAAGCCAATATTGCAGTTTCCTGTTTATAAAGACAAATCATCATCATCATCTTACTACATGTACGATCTTTATTATAGTTATTCATCAACATCTATCTCCATCATCGTAATCATCATCATTCGATTCATCATCCCCACCATCATCATTATCATCATCACTATCATTATCATAAATCCTTTTCACCATATATACTGCCATCATTATCATCATGTATCATCATCATCATGATTATGTAGCATCATCCTCATGTATCTTCATAGTGTCACTACAACCATGATCATCATTATCATGATTATGTAGCATCATCCTCATGTAT